TTATTCCTAATCTTTCTTATTTCTGCAATTGGTAAGCTTTTAACATAATTTTTTATTAATCATTTGTTTTTATGAATCATGTTATCATCATTGTGTGTTTTATCTGTATTTATTATTATAAATGTATAAAAATGTTTCGTTGTTCCGTGACGTCACGGGTCCTGGAACCTCCAGGACCTTGAACCAATAAACAGTGTCAACTTGGACTTTGTCGCGTTTCATCTCCCTCTCGGCAGCAGGAAAATCTCAGGTTGTACTGACCCCCGTTGTGTTACTTGCCTAGGTACTATTAAAGCTGGACGTGAAACCTTAATAAGCAGTGATAAAGGCAGATAAGGCGTAAATACAGACGAAGCCAAAGTGACAGTATATACCCAGTGATGCTCATTTAACTTTTAAGTCACGTTTTATTTTTCGTTTCCTTTTAATATTTTAACAGTAATGTTGTAGCAAGTGTTGGTGCTTATTTTTGTTTTGTTTTAACGCAATATTTCCTTTTTTTTAATGTCTGCCTTTCATTTTACGTAGGATTTTTTTTTTTTTACCATACTTTTAATCAACTTTTACTGATTCTACTCTGTTCTTACCCTGACTCGTTCTCTTCTCGTCTTCACTCGTTTTCTCACTCATTCTCTCCTCGTTCTCTCACTCGTTCTCTTACTCGTTCTCGTTCTCACACTCGTTCTCTCATTCGTTCTCATACTCGTTCTCTTACTCGTTCTCTTACTCGTTCTCTCGCTCGTTCTCTCCTCGTTCTCTCGCTCATTCTCTCTCGTTCTCGTCGCTCATTCTCTCCTCGTTCTCTCGCTCATTCTCTCCTCGTTCTCTCGCTCATCTCTCTCCTCGTTCTCTCATTCTCTCCTCGTTCTCTCGCTCATTCTCTCCTCGTTCTCTCGCTCATTCTCTCCTCGTTCTCTCGCTCATTCTCTCTCGTTCTCTCGCTCATTCCTCGTTCTATTCTCGTTCTCTCGTTCGTCATCTCTCTTCGCTCTCGCTCTTCTCTCCTCGTTTCTCTCATTCTCTCCTCGTTCTCTCGCTGTTCTCGTCCTCTCGTTCTCATTCTCTCCTCGTTCTCTCGCTCATTCTCTCGTTCTATTGCGGAAGGACTCTAGAGAAGGAACAGCAACATCCTAAATAGATTCTCTTCAACATATTTTTTTCTATTTTCAAGGGGAGTGAACGGGACCCCTGATCTCACTTGGTCCCTAAGCCTCTCCTGCCTCACGGGAGATAATTCGGGCTCCTCTACATAGATAGGCACCTGGCCCTAGCTAGGTGTATACCTGACAATATATATATATATATTTATATATATATATATATATTTATATATTATATATATATATATAAATTTATATTATATTATATATAATATATATATATATACATATATATATAATATTATATATATATATATATATATATATATATATATATAAATATATATTATATATATATATATAAATACATATATTATATATATATTATATATATATATATATATTTATATATATATATATATATATATATAATATATATATATATATATATATATAATATATATATATATTATATATATATATATATAATATATATATTATATATTATATATATATATATGTATATATATATATAAATATATATATATTATATATATATATATATATATATATATATATATATATTTATATATATTTATATATATATATATATATATAATTATATATATATATATATATATATTATATATATATATATATATATATATATATATATATAATATATATATATATATATATATATATATATATATATATATATATATATATTATAATATATATATATATATATATATATATATATATATATATATATATATATATATATATATATATAATATATATATATATATATATATATTATATATATTTATATTATATATTATATATATATATATAAATAGTATATATATAGGTGATAGATAGAGTGTCAAATCAAGACTTTAGGTCTTCTAAAATGTATAAAAACTTAACAAGTGCGTGATACTCTTAACCATAAAAGAGAACAACCACATTAGTGTTTCACTCCCGCCACAGTAATTTAATCAATCATATAGGAGGCTTTAGTACCTTTTACAGTGTGAGTGTGTGTGTGTAAACATATATATATATATATATATATATATATATATATATATATATATATATATATATATATATATATATATATATGTGTATATATATGTATATATATGTATGTATATATATATATATATATATATATATATATATATATATATATATTATATATATATATATATATATTATATTATGTATATATGTATGTATATATATGTATGTATATATAATTATATATTATATATATATATATATATATATATATATATATATATATATGTATATATATATAATATATATATATATATATATATATATATATATGTATATATAATATATATATGTATATGTATATATATTATATATATGTATATTATATATATATATATATATATATAATATATATATATATATATTATATACACTCTACCGTGTTGATACTATGATAGAAAAACCCACAATGCACAAACTAGATTTATTGAAGAAAGTGAGACAACACTTTCGTCCTCGATTCCATCCACACATTGTGGGTTTTTCTACCATATATATATATATATATATATATATATTATATATATATATATATATATATACAGATATCCACACACACACATATATAACATATATAATTGTGTCTGTGTTTTTTATATATCCTATTACCGTTTTTTTCCTATTCCATCTCTCTTAGATGTTTTTCCTGCTATCTTGGCGATGAAAATGAAATTTCTGGCAAAATTTAATAGTGTTCTTAAGAAAACTATATATCTATAATTAATTAGAAAAATGTTTTTACACGAAAAATAAGCGCATGGCTTTTCGAAAGAATTAACCCTTTGATTAGCAAAAACTATTTATTTATTTCTCTTATTGCCACTTCCTTTAAACAGGTCTCTACGACCAGTCATATCTTTGATAAAAAGTGTTAAAAACGCCAGATACAATAATAATGAGGATAATATTAATAATAATAATATTAATGATAACTAAAAAAATAAATAAATAAAAGAGGCTACAGACACTACTTCGACCCGCGTTACTTGGGACCGCAGCTTAAATCTTTTTTGAGTGAAATGAATAGTTACCAAATATTTATTTGTGGTTATTTATTTGTGTTTGTGTTGTACCCTTCTTGGAATAAAAAAGATAACATCTATAGTTAAAGAGGCAGCTTTTATTAGGATGATACATTGAACAATTTAAAAATATTTTGATTCAACATAAATTTCCATGTGAATGTGCATGCATCTCCCCCCCCCCCTCTCTCTCTCTCTCTCTCTCTCTCTCTCTCTCTCTCTCTCTCTCTCTCTCTCTTCTCTCTCTCTCTCTCTCTCTCTCTCTCCTCCCCTCCGTCAGAATCTGCGTTTGGCAAAGACTCTGAACTCCGGCGGGCCGAGCGTGAACCCTGCGACGCCTTCCGTGTTGGTGACGGGGACGGCGGGGTCGAGCTCGAAGTCCAGGTGCTGCACGAGCGCCGCGAACAGCAGGAACGACGTCATGCGAGCGAGAGGCTCTCCGAGAGCCGTCCTGGGGGACCGAGATGAGAATGTATGTGGTAACTCAGAGGAACATGGCCAGTGGGGACTAATGCCTTGTTTTGCGCTCGACTACAAGACTTTATTCCTGGCAGAAGAATGAGAAAGATACAAGCAGATAAACACAGTTCGACCAAGAACTGGGACCTTTACCTTTGCCAAAGGGAATCATTCGCTCGTCCTTGCGGAAGGTTCCATCCGCGTTGATGAAGCGCTCGGGACGGAAGTTTTCAGGGTCGCCCCAATACTCAGGGTCCATGTGAACACTGTACAGGTTGTTCATTACCATCGTTTTGGCTGGTATCCGGTGTCCCTTTGAGGAAAACAATAAACCTAGGATTTATTTTTAAGAATGAACGCGCGCGTAAGTGATTTGGTAAAATGAACTAATAAACACACAATAATTTCAGCTGAAATTACCATGCCATGTATAAATAAGAGTAAATAAGTACTCTATCCTTTGTCTATAATTTCATAAAATGATTTATGAAAGCGGGAAATACAATCAAGAGAGAAAACAAAGGATCATAAACTATTTGTGACAGGTTGCTTACCCGCAAAACGGTATCTCGCATTGCACTGTGAGGGACGGTGAAGGTGGCCGCTCCCCGAAAACGGAAAACCTCATTGAGAGTTGCTTCCACGTAGGGCAAGCTGTGGGCAGGTAGCATAAGGCATTAGTTGTTTCTTAACACATCCGTCCTTTGGGACGGGCATGATCAATCTACTTATAGGTAACTACCTTGAAGAATGTTTCTATGATGGATTTTATTCATGAATGACTTCTTTGAGCTGGGATGTGATCCACACTGACCGACCATAATGACTGGTGCATCAGTAATGCAATGCTGGTGCAGATTACAAGATTACAAAGGACAGTGGCCGCTCCAACACACTGGCGACAAAGAAATAAACGCAGATGGAAGTAAAAGGAAACATTTTCTGATCGGGGCTATACATCGCTGTTATAGCACAAAATGATTACACATTCAAGAAATATTTTTAAAAAGAAATATAGAAGAGGACAGAGAGACACAAGAAAAAAGAAAGTGTCACCTTGAGGGGTCAATGGGTGTGTCCCCAACCAGGTGCCAAAATAAACCTCAATCTCACCTTTGACTCTGTGAGGTGTGCAACTCCTCGTCATCAAACCGCAAACAAAAATCTCAGTAAAAGACCCGGATCAGTTGCCTTAAGAAATACTGAGGCTAACATCACTGAAGCAGATACTGAAATACAGTAGAAAACGGCTTGTATCTTCGCCTCGTCACTATGATCTACGTGGAAATACTTACCAAGGGGCGTGTTCACATGTGATCACATGCATCCA